AAAAACCGTTGCGGTTTCAAAGATCCACGCGGTTATCGTATTCCTCATATTCCAAGGCGAAACTGTGAAGAAACGGCGAATAAAAAATTACGTTTTTTTTCTTTCACATTATACGTTGAGCACAACCAATTTTAGTTAAAAGTTCTTACACACGAATCACAGTATAGTAATCTTGATTGAAAAGGGTGGCAATAAGTCTTTACGTACACATGAAAATTCTAAATTCGACTTGGATGTAAGTTGTCGCAATTTATAAACATTTGAATTATTTTAGATTGACATATAAGATTGCATGCATTAAGTATTTTAGACACAATGTGTTAAAAAGTAGGTGGCATGTAAATTTATTATTAGTGTGTAAACGATTGTCAAGGGATAGCTTTGTATGTAATTAGGGCACATCTTTTCAGGATTGTATGATAGTTAACATTGTCTTATCAACCCCTAGGGATCGCATAATTGAGAGGAAAACACTGCGAATGAACACACGTAACAGTGATTGATAGGGCCTCGCATTGTGTGCTGTCGCCTGTGATTGTCGCTCGATAAGCCGCTTCCGATCTTCCTCTGTATATCCACAAAATGAAATATACGTAAATCATGATAAACGAATGAACTCAAATCATCATCATGGTGATTCTTATTGGCGGCCGGAAAATAGGTTGTACTGGAACATCAAAAAACAATTAGGCGAAGGGCTGTTGTGGTCCTTTTGCATTATCATAACTATCCTTCTTTACTAATTAAGGCAACAGCCCCCGCTGGTGAGTGATTATGCACGACAGAGGTAAAATGAGTGTGGGAAAGCAGGAATGTGAACGTTATTATCGTCGTTCATACGTACGTACATTCAGCTAAATGTTATGTTCAGGGAAGGGCATTTCCTAACTGTGCTACTAGTCAACATTCTGCCGTTGGCCTGATGGTGTGAAGAGGTGAGTCTTACCATGCCGGAGCCCAGTTGCTGTAGTAGACCTGATCCTTGCGACCCGCCAAAGACGGCGGAAGGCCTACGTGATCTGATGCTCTGCATGCTACTACTAAGTAGATATGGCACGCTGCTGCTGGTGTTCGGCATCGAACCTCCCTGCAAAGAAGCGTGTAGAGCGCTGTGCGACAAAGTCTCATAGTGCACACTGTGTTGATAGTGAAATGCATGATGGTGATGGATCCTACTTGACTATATTAAACAGCAGAAGCTAACATAGGAAAAACAACGTCTAAAACAGTGTTCAGCGTCGTGTATTTTGGAGTACTACAAAAAAAATTGAACTCTCCGCCTATCGGATTACATCAAAACAGATACTCACTATCATGCTCCGTGCAAGCTGAATAGAGACAGAGCGCAATCAACAAACGGCATGTTCCAAGCGGTCGGACGGCACAAATGAGAATGAAAATACAATTAACAAGGTGGCATGAATGACATGTGATGTCGTGCAGGGGGCCGTGGGGCGGCCCGCAGGTGAGCCACGCCACGGGGTGCACATTTTTCGCGTCATTATAATAATAACAGATAAACTCACGCGACACACACCTCTGCACTTACATATGTAGACGGCACAGACAGGCTCGAGCCCCCTCGGGACACAGAGCTGTAGCCTATCGCGCCCTGTGCGAACAATCGCTATCTCAGCATCGAATTATAATGACATCTATTTTCAATTAATTACAATTGCAACTTTAGGGTACTCTCTTAATACAAACATTATAATATTTAAAGTTGAATGAAATATTACCGTTGGAGGAGAGAGGTTTACTGTTGAACCTCTCCGCTCCTGTGGTCCAATACTGGAATGGCGCCGAATAGGTAATCCACCGCCCGGAGTGCCGCCCGGCGACGAAGCGCAAGACGGAGCGATGCGAATTTTTGGTGTCATGAGCGTATTATCCGATAGTCTGCGGTTGGGGAACGCATTCACTACCCGCAGGAAGTTGCTGTCGGGCGACGAAGGTGAACCTCCGAACCACCACCCGCCCAACATACCACCTACAATCAAACCAAAACTAACACTCCTTACAAAAATTACTCGTCATTAACACACCCCCCAAATTTGATCTGGTTAACAACAAACTAGCCTTGTTTGTTGTCAAATAGATTTAAAAAATGATAACTGAGGGTATAATCTTTCTCCAAATCTACTGTCGGCGTAAAAATTATGTGGACTCAAGTTTGAAGTCTAATAAAAAATAACCGTTCGACGAATTTATAAATTTATTAACAATTAATTCTATGTTTTTTAGATTTAAAGAAATCACGGGCACATACGGCAAAAAGTGCCCTTATTTTCTGAGTTTCCCGCACCTATACAGCTTCCTAACTTTTATTACTGGCGTTATCCTTAGCAGGTGGTTTCCACATAACCTTTCAGTAGTTTTTGGAGATATTCTTCATAGACTATTCCGTGCTCAGTTTTCCTAAGCCTATCTAAAGATTCTTAAAATATCCTTCAGAATCTCTTCAAAAATTACTAAAAACTGCTCTGGACATGTTTAGAGTTTCTTTAAAAGTATCTTTAAGTAATCTTCGAGATTCCCTAATGATTCTTCCGTTACTATTGAATCTTTTAACTCTACGATGCTCACTCTCTGGATCTCTGTAAGAGTCAAAGCTCAAAGGCAAATCAACTTTTAAAAAAAGTTTGCCATTGAAATATAAAATATATTATAACACAATTGTTGGCTCTGGTTGTCAAATGATTCATATTCTTCGCAATGACCCCAATACTTGATGTTGAATAAAATCTGCTCGTGCCCCAATTGTGTGGTAATTTTGTTCTATTTTTCTATCATAATGCTCTTTATAGAGCCTTCAAAACCTCTACAAAGATATTACTCATACCATTTTTCTGATTCAATGGGAGATACTTTAATTGTACCGTGGAAAATCTCTAAATATCTCCGAAAATGTCACTCCTGGATGTGTAAATTCTGAAAGAAATTATCTCAAAGGTTCCTTACAATAAGAAGTCCCACTCGTGTCTATATATTTCAACCAACTCGACTGTGAGAGAGATGCAGCGATCGAAGCACAGTGGTAAAGAACCCTATTTAATTTTTATTGATGATTCTTTAAAAAATAAATGTCATTGCTTGTTGGCTAAAAGAGATGGGTGTAAGCAAAATCATTGCATCAGCAAAATCACTTGCTCCACTCGCTCGCAAGCTTGCTCGTGTCGCAAACGTAACTCTACTGAATAATAGGCGTCATAAGATGCTCGTAGTACTATCAAAGGATATGTGCTAGAATTTAAGATTGGAATTAACAAAGGAATTGAGCACTAGCATGTGAGTACCGTATTCGCGACTTAAATTTGCAGGAACATAAACAAATATCTGTGCTGCCACCTTAAGTACCATTTTAAAACAGCTTCGGAGGCTGCCACTAAGGATTTCCGGAGAACAGTCAGAGGTGCTTAAATTAAAAAATTTTGAGAACGTTTTAAAGCATTGATTGATTCTTAAAAGTTTCATCATATAGTGTAGGAGCATTTTCCATAAATATTAAATTAAAATCGCTCGTAGTTTAACGGTTTGAATCTTGTTGAGATGTCTAGGCCGTAGTTGATAGTTTGATGTTAATCATTTTGGCATTCCTCGTAAGACAAATTCGTCATTAAAGTTGAAAATAATTCATCCTATTTTTCAAAAATGGTCCCAAGAATTGATAAATTATTTGGTTGTAGAGAAAGAGTATTTTATATGTAACGCGTTTTATAAACTTCTCTAGGAATACGATACTAACACTCGCTGCTCTCGTTCCTCACATAAAATCATATCTAAATTGTCGTTTATAAAATTTGATGCATAATATACTATTTTATGATCTTTAAAAATCCATTCTATTCTTAGCTCTTTAGAACATTTAGACGTTCTTTGGTAATTCTTAAAGAATCAAGAAACCTTTTTCAAGGACCCGTTAAAGAATCTTTCGACACGTTCACTTAATGTTCTACGGAGAATCCTTAGAGATTCTTTACCTACTTATTTATCAGTATGGTTTACACACTGTTCAGAGCTTGATGATCTTTTCATATTCTTACAAACTCAATAAGGGTGTTCATTTTTTGGTCCCTGCTGAATATCGGCAAAAGATACTTTATAAAATTGTGATTGGTTCATAAGTGAGTTTCCGAATATTCTTCATAAATTATTTTATGCTTCTGCTGAGAGCAGAAAATGTGGTTTATGTGAGAAAAAGCACGAAATAAGTACAATAATTAAGGTGGGTACTTTAATTTCACAATATCGAGTATAGGCCCCTTTCAATAACTGTAATAACCCGAAATTTAAAAAAAAGCACAAAGTTTCAAATTTAGCACTTTGTAAAGCTAACAAAGGGCGCTTTTTGTCGTTCGAACCAATAATAACTTTGTGTTTGAGTTTGAAAATTGTTTATTCCACATAAATACCGTATTTGAGTTTTCAATCCGTCGAACGGTTATTTTATTAGTAGTTTGAAATTTAGCTTTAAACGTATGGTATAAAGCAGGCTTTACAAACCTGTCGAATTCTTTCTGGCCATATCCTCCGCGCTAGACGTTTTCCGCTGCTCTATTCGTAAATTTGGTATGTTGAACGGCGGAACGTGCATATTATCCGAACTATACTGGTGCCTTAAGGGCCGATGCCTTTCCGGGCTGGGTAACGATAAGTTATCCAATTTTAATTTGTTACGCTGATTCCTATCTATCTGATCTAACATTTCTTGAAGCACTTCTAATAAAGTCGTAAATTGATCTAAATTCAATGAGGGATTTACTGTTTGTGGCAGTAACGATGGCATTACCTTCGTCGCCATTAAATTTATCGAAAGCCCATATTTTTTATCGCTAAGCATGAGCCTGTAAATATCTAAAAAGAAGCACGCCGTTAGCAATGTTCAAAATTGAATTTGTGGCAATGGGGGCTGATTGTGTGGTGGTGTATACTTACTAACTACACGAAGAATAATTTGCGGGTCCGATAAGCGCACGTCGTAAAGTAACGGTAGCACCTCGTCGATAATTTGACTTTTGTCGAATCGATCTAGTGTCTTTTCCACGCAGGAGAGCACGTTCGATACAATTTTTAAATCGTTTTGATTTTTTTCGTATACCATTTTCGTTTTTGGAAGAACCATACGCCGCACCGACATTTCGTCCAGGTACTCGGAGACGTTTGTAACTGCGACTAGTGCTGCACTCTGAAAAATAAAGCAAGTGGTTAACTTTACTGCCTATTTTGGATTCTGATTTAAGGGGCATATACGATCCGTAAACAAAGAGAGCTCTAAGCCCAAAACATATCACTAATTACAGTAGCTCCGTGCATTTAAGGGTAAACTTGGAAAACATGCTGCAGAAGTGCAGAATACTCAAATACTTTCGGTCCTTTTTAGGGTTAATCAATGATTACAAATATTGGAAGGTTTGGCCACCTTTAATTATAAGTTACGGTGTTTGTTGGTTTCAACAGGATGCGAGAATAATTATGCTGGAAAATGAAAAATATGTTCAATAGGAGAAAGTGTTTTTAATTTTTTTGTGTCTGTTCAAATAATATCAGAAAAAAATAAAATCGAAATCTACAAATCTCGGTTTTGTGGCATATATTTGGTAAGTGATAGGAATTTTGTGGCTTTCTTTACAGCATGAGAATTACTCTTTAATTGCACAACTTTTGCCTAATTTGATTATTGTCGCATCTTGTATATGGTTTCGGAGATCCCCATTGTATACTCGTAGACATCTTATTTTGGCTACAGTGTATTCCCATCGTACCGTAAGATGTTCTTTTCGTAAACTACTTAAATGAATCTATAAATTGCGTCTTAAATATTCAGAGAGGGCACACTTTTCAAGCGATGTCTTACTTTCTCTGTTATGCATTTGAAATAATGCAGAACGGAGTTGCTGCTAAAATCCTCTGGGAACCCGAACTTATTGTTTTTTTTTTTTTAATTCACTTTTAACGACCCGAAATAAGTTCCATTTCCATTTCTTACTTAGTAAAACGAGTTCGTTATATTTACATAGAATATTATACAAAACTATTCATGCAGCTAAATACTACTGAAATACTACACACTAATAGGAGGGATATATGGGATCAGTGTATTACCTGAACTTGTATTGTGCTGCTTTCGAACGCATTATACAGCATAGGCAAAACTTCAGTACGTATATCGTCACGTGGAGTTTTCTCGAGAATAACGTGTAAATTTTCTAACAAGGTAACCGTTGCTTGAATTGATTTCGGAGTCGAAAATACGCTCCTGAAACATTTTCCAATATAGAAATAATCTTTAAACGTTCCATTGCTCACCTAAAGGACGGAAGGATGATGGACTCGTATTCTTCTATTGTTGATTCCTGTATTAAATATAAAATTGGTTGCAAAACTGCGGCTAAAACTTCTTGCGTCCGCATCTCCTGCTGTAAACTAGGCCACACGTGTTGATACCATAGTTTCTGAAAGATGAAAAGCAGAGTACCGATGTGTAGAAACCGTAAACATTTAAAATTTGTCTGTTTAATGAAACGATATAAAATTGCGCAGGAAACGAGCCACATTTGGAAAAATCACTGAATTGAGAAATGCCTTTATACCCACAAACGTATTTGTAACGATTACAACTGTCGTCAAAGGACACTCCGCGATTTTGTCACAACGAGTTGATACTGTAAACGGATACAAAAAAACCATCAAAAGGTTTTAAAAGCCGGATTTTTCCCTTTATGCATTTAGGTTACAATATACTCCGCATAATCAAATACTTTTTCTGTTCCACAAAAACGTTTCCATATTTTGAAGTACAGCCTAGGGAAAAGTAAGTTGTAAAAATAAAAGTGAGTTGGGTGTCAATCCTGAAAGACCACCACTTATGGCAGTATACGAAAACTCCTGTGATGTTACTTTTGTGTCTGCGGGTATATGTCAAATTTACTGTATATTTACGACTTTTAACAAAAGTTGAAAATGTCTGATAATACTGAAATTGATGAAACCGGATTATAAAAGGTTTTGGATTATGAAATGTCGGAAAACTATTGAATGTGTAAGAAGGAATTGCTTTATGCGTTAAAGACATGGAAGTGGAAGTCCATCTACCCAATGATGGTGTGCCGTATGCGCGTGCATGATGAGGCCACTCTTCCTCAAAAGCAAGGAATGTTGTTTTCACTAGTGCGGTATATCAAGATATTCATCCAGAGGTGGTAACGCCCTTAAGTACCGAAAGTTACATTCAATCATTGACGAGATTTATTGCTATGAAGCGGAAGACTGCTTATAATTTAGGGCGACAGTGGAATCAATTGAAAAAGAATGGAAATTGCTATGAGAGATTTCAAGATACAGAAAGATTACAGTGGAAATTCTATCCACCAAGTGCTGCTTGGTAAGCAGAGTTGATGGAAACAAATTTTACAAGAGATGATAATATCTATTATTATATTGCATGTTGTATCAAAGAGTATGCCTCTTTGGTTGTATGTAACCTATAATGTACTATACAGTCAATACCCGACAAATTTCGCACACCTATGTCTAATGCAGGATATACAGAAACGTTAACATTACTAATATTCCCGCAAGATCAAAGGAAGATATAACGGAGAGTTGTGGTTTCGAAAGACGGTTTCAATTTATTGATTATTGAGGATATGACTAGGAAGTGAGTTAGTGACATTAAACTAAGTGCAACTCTACAAACGTATGTCTTCTTGATGACGCTTTCGATAACTGGTGAACAAATTCAGTAACCAATCCCTTGTTAGAATCCGGGTTTTGGCATGGATATTTGTAAATGTATAGTGAGTTGGGTTGGTAGAGCCGCCTTGGCTGAAACCCCGCCCACTCAAAATAATAATAATAATAAATAATAATAATAATAATAATAAGCTTATTTAATGTTTCGTAGAACAGCCTACATACATTAGTCAATACAAAAGCAAATTAAAAATATAACAAATGTAAGAGCAAACAAAAATTATAACACAATACTTAATTGTCACTCTGTACTGAAAAATTCCTCATACGAGTAAAACGCTTTATCAATAAGAAATGCTTTAGTTGAGTTTAGTTGATTTCAATAAATGAAAAGGTAAAGTATTGTGAGGAATATAATTATACATTTTTATATTGATATAGGCAGGGATATAGATAATCAAAACTGTGTTGCGTCTTAGTTAAACGGCAAAAAGGGATAAATACATTAAATTTGTTGCGGGTGTCATAATTATGAACATCGTAATTTTTTACAAAATAATGTTCATTGCGCTTAACCAAACAAAGACAAATAAAAATAAAAATAGCAAGGGGCTATGTATGAGTGCAAAATAGGCAGTTTTAAGGATATTCATAGTTACATTACTCGCTAATCTACGCAAAACAAATAAGTTTCTGCTTATCTTCGGAGCAACATACCGTTTTCATTGTATTTATAGGTATGTAATAAGTTTATGGTGCACCAAGTATTAGCTCGTTGAAGTAATTCATTGGAGTTATTTAGTGCTCCGTTAATGTGTTCGGCCCCAACAAGTAAGGTAGCGTCAATGCGTCATCTGCATAAAGAAGGCAGCTTTTATTTCCAGAAATAAATCTTGGCATATCATTAATATAGATTAAAAAGAGAAGAGGCCCCAGAATACTACCTTAGGGTACTCCTTTCGTTATACAGAGTTTTTCTGATAGGTTATTATTTATCCTTACACATTGAAAGCTATTTGTAAGATATGATTCAATGACGAGTTTGCTAGTAAACATCAAATCCATAGACTTTCTCGAGGTTGTCTAATAAAATTAGATGTTGGACGCTGTCAAATGCTTTAGTTAGATCTATGAAAATTGCACAAGCGTGTTCACCTTTTTCAAAGCAATTAAGCGTAAGTGTTACAAATTTAGCGATAGCGACAGATGTAGACCTCCCACTACGAAACCCAAATTGATTATGACTGAAGAGATCTTCAAAATAATAAGCAATTCTTTTATTAATCAGCTTTTCAAAAACCGTCGAGAAAACTGGTAAGACAGAGATGGGCCGGTAATTGGTAACATTATCTACGTCGAGCGAGTTTCAGTTGATCGGGAAAAATGCCATTTAAAAACGACTCATTAATTAATTTGGTGAGAGGTTTTAGAACATAAACACTAACGTTTGTTTTTATAAGGGTCGTGGTCACGCCGTATATATCTTTGCATTTACTATTTGATAAAGAAGGTATAGTGTCTCTAACTTCAATCGGTGATACAGGAGTAAGTGAAAATTTTAAATGCGAAGCTATCCTAATGTTGCAAACCTCCGAAGTATCACTTAAAGTTTGATTTAGGTTAATTATCGCCAGATTTGTTAACGAAATGTCTATTAAAAGTATCACAATGTATGTTTAATCACCTTATTTGAATTTCTATGAGAATTAACAATTGACCACATTGTACCAATAGAGAAAGAGAAGTTTATGGCCGCACAATTAGCAGAAATTTTAGCATTTTTAATTGCTGTTTTATATTTATTAAAAACATTTCGTTTGATATTACGAAGCTCTTCGGATTTATCTCTATCATAGATCTCACATATGAGCTGATAAACACCGCGGAGTGAACCATTTTATGTTAGTGTCTTTGTTTCTTCTCAGTGTTAAAGACTTTAACTTAAAGTTTTTTTCCGGAAACGCGATGTTAAATGAATCACAAAAATTTTTAAAAAATACACTGAATTTTTTGTTCAAATTAATGCTTGTGTCGTTAAGATAGCTCCAGTCGCACTCGTTCAAAATTCTAAATAAGCTGAGGGTTCCGTAGCTAGTAATCGGTCTGTAAGTCTTAACACTATCTACACTTTCATTACATTCAGTTTTACCACATTGCACAGTAATTACCTGACCATAATGATCAGAAAGATTTGTGTCCAAAATATTACACTGAAAGTTATTAACCCCGAAGTTGATAAAAATATTGTCTATGCAATTTTTTTTGCGTGTAGGTACGACAATAGTTTTAATAAAACCATAAGCACTTAATAAGTTGCATAATTGTGTGGCATTACTATCACCTGTTTCATTAAATGATACATTAAAGTCTCCTGCGATTATTATATTATTGTATTTACCTTGGTTAGAATTCCTTCGAAGTGATTTACGAAAATTTGAAAATCACCCGAGGGAGAACGGCAACATGAAAGAATAACCAAAGCGTATCCCTTGATTAATAGGTACTGAAGTGACTTCACAGTGCACCTCTACAGACAAATTGTTGATTACCTCAAGGGGTTTACAAACGAGATCATTTTGTTTGATCAAAATTAAAGCTCCGCTGTGTATTTTGCACTTTCGACAAAAGGCAGATGCCACTATCCAGTCGTTGATTCTGAAACCTTCAACTTCATCGTATTTCAGCCAGTGCTCGGTGACGCAGATGACATTAAAATTTTTTCCTTGTAAATAGGCTTCAAAAAGACCTATTTTATTTCTAATGGATTGGATGTTTATATGAAATACAGTCAAAATAGTATTTACCCGGTTGGGTTTAACTTGGGAGTATTAAAAAAAACCGATTAATAACTGCTCCGGATGGCGAAGTTGTGGGCAAAAATAAAGGCAAAAAAATAACAATAAAAAAACTGCAGAGAATTCAAGTGACGCAGAGCCTACTAAGAAAACCAATAATGATCAGAAAGTTGGCAGTAACTAGACTAGAGGAGGGAGAGGATGTGAGAAAACATTTATAAATGATCTGTTTACAACGTGGCAGAATCTCGTTTTACTAAGTCTCCCACTAAGTTTCGAATATTTTGCACCACGATTGCGTCTCAGGACACACCGCAATAGACCCCGAGAAACGGAGAACTAAGATTACTGAGTGTCCCGATTCAAGGAACTTCCATACAGAAACAGGAATTTAGTACGCCATGGTCGCAAAGAAGACCTTCGAGAAAAAATCATAGGGGAAAAGTGATAAGTAAAAGAAGGAATTTTCTTAACCGATATATACAGGGTGATTCCTATAGTACCTGCCACCGTTTGGGAGCGTGTAGGTGGTGCGTAGGGGAGTATTTTGATATAGGACACTTGGGGTCGGAAATCTAAAATAAGGGTGCCAGAGCCAAATTTACCTTCTGGAATTTCGCGCCTGTAGGTAGGCAACCCAACCGGCCGGCGGTGCACACGGAGCGATCTCAGGCGGCGATGTGTGGCTGACACTTGATCAGAATTTTGTTTAAACCCACGAAATCCCGTCTGCAACGACGCGTATCAAGTGAATAAACACTATGGCACGTTTTACTAACACGGAATACGCGGACATGCACTTCATGTACGGATTGGCAAATGGTAACGCACGAGCTGCACGACGAGCGTACGCTGAGCGGTATCCAAACCGTCAGTTACCCTGCAGACAGGACTTTCAAGAAGTTCACTTCCGACTGTGCGAGACAGGGCAATTGCAGGTAAGCTGACGGAGGCTTAACTT